GGGGTTAAAACCTCCGAGGACCCCTACTGGGTCTCAGGCTTGCCAGTGCTGCATTTATGCCCGGATTTCTAAGCTTTTTTCGGGGATAGAACCTCCACAGAATCCCCTCGGTTCTGGGACCCGCATGGCCCTATTTTAAGCCGGATTTAAGGGCTTTTTTCGGGGTTAAAACCTCCGAGGACCCCCCCTGGGTCTCAGGCTTGCCAGTGCTGCATTTATGCCCGGATTTCTAAGCTTTTTTCGGGGATAGAACCTCCACAGAATCCCCTCGGTTCTGGGACCCGCATGGCCCTATTTTAAGCCGGATTTAAGGGCTTTTTTCGGGGTTAAAACCTCCGAGGACCCCCGCTGGGTCTCAGGCTTGCCAGTGCTGCATTTATGTCCGGATTTCTAAGCTTTTTTCGGGGATAGAACCTCCACAGAATCCCCTCGGTTCTGGGACCCGCATGGCCCTATTTTAAGCCGGATTTAAGGGCTTTTTTCGGGGTTAAAACCTCCGAGGACCCCCCCTGGGTCTCAGGCTTGCCAGTGCTGCATTTATGCCCGGATTTCTGAGCTTTTTTCGGGGATAGAACCTCCACAGAATCCCCTCGGTTCTGGGACCCGCATGGCCCTATTTTAAGCCGGATTTAAGGGCTTTTTTCGGGGTTAAAACCTCCGAGGACCCCCCCTGGGTCTCAGGCTTGCCAGTGCTGCATTTATGCCCGGATTTCTACGCTTTTTTCGGGGATAGAACCTCCACAGAATCCCCTCGGTTCTGGGACCTGCATGGCCCTATTTTAAGCCGGATTTAAGGGCTTTTTTCAAGGTTAAAACCTCCAGGGACTCCCCTTGGTTCTGGGACCTGTCATTGCTCTTTTTCAAGACAGATTTCATGCGCTCTCTCCCGGGGAGAAATGCGCCCACCCTTATTCTTTGAGAATATGTGTGTGTGTGTGTGTGTGTGTGTGTGTGTGTGTGTGTGTGTGTGTGTGTGTGTGTGTGTGTGTGTGTGTGTGTGTGTGTGTGTGTGTGTGTGTTCCCCACTTGGTGGGGACCGTGGTCAGACAGCACACTCACGGCGTGAGGACCATTAGATTCATTGAAAAGAAGGTCAGGGGAGTTCCTTGACAAATTTTCAGGGCTGACCCCAGAAGATAAGATAAGATTTGCTTTATTTATCTCACATAGGAGAAATTTACATGTCACATTTGGCATGGATAGAGACACTCAGATTGTGCAAAAGGAGGAAATGTGCAAACATGTTACATGCAGGATATATATGTACAATAAAGTGACAATAATTATGTACAACAAAAGTGACAAGTGTCAATTGGAAACAGTGTCAATAGTAGTGCAGGTTTTCACACAGTGATCATTTAAAGTGACTTATTGTACAGTCTGACAGCGGTGGGGATAAAGGCCCTGCGGTAGCGCTCCTTCCTACACTGAGGGTGTCTCAGTCTTCCACTGAAGGAGCTCCTCAGCTCCTCTACAGTCCTGTGCAGTGGGTGGGAGGTATTGTTCATGATGGAGGTGGCTTTGGTTAGCACCCTCCTGTCCCTCACCTCCTCCACAGAGTCCAGGGAGCAGCCCAGAGTGGAGCTGGCCCTCCTGACCAGCTTGTTCAGTCTGTTTCTGTCCCGCTCTGTGCTGCCCGGGGCCCAACACACGGCAGCGTAGTAAATGGCAGAAGCTACCACAGAGTCATAAAAAGTCCTGAGCAGAGGCCTGCTCACTCCGAAGGACCTCAGCCTCCTCAGAAGGAAGAGGCGACTTTGGCCCTTCTTGTGCAGGGCGTTTGTATTATGGGACCAGTCCAGTTTATTGTTAATGTGAACACCCAGGTACTTGAAGCTGTCCACCAGCTCAATGTCCTCCCCCTGGATGTTCAGCAACGTGTGGGAAAGTGGTTTTCTCCTGAAGTCGATGACCATCTCCTTGGTCTTACTGGTGTTCAAGCACAAGTGGTTGCGTTCACACCAGTCGACAAAGTCTGTGATAACCGACCGATATTCCAGTTCGTTCCCCTCAGACACACAGCCCACGATGGCGGAGTCGTCGGAGAACTTCTGCAGGTGACAGCTGTGTGTGTCGTGTGTGAAGTCTGAGGTGTAGATGGTGAAGAGAAATGGTGAGAGGACAGTGCCCTGAGGGGCCCCAGTGCTGCAGACTACCACTTCAGACTCACAGCTGCGCAGCCGCACGTACTGTGGTCGGTCTGAGAGGTAGTTGATGGTCCATGCAGTGAGGCTACTGTCCACTCCCGCGTCCTCCATCTTCCCCTGCAGCCGTGCCGGCCTGATGGTATTGAAAGCACTGGAGAAGTCGAAAAACATGACCCTCACAGCGCTCCCGGCGTGCTCCAGGTGGGAGAGCGTCCGCTGCAGGAAGTTGGGTCTGTAGGCGAACTGCAGCGGGTCCAGGGTGGGGCTGACCACGGAGCGGAGATGGGTGAGGATGAGCCGCTCCATTGTCTTCATCAGGTGGGAGGTCAGTGCGACTGGTCTGTAGTGAGCCGGTTCCTTGGCGTGTGCTGTTTTTGGGACCGCGATCACACAGGAGGTCTTCCACAGGACAGGGACCTTCTCCAGGCTGAGGCTCAGGTTGTACATGTAGCTGAGGACCCCAGAGAGCTGGTCTGCACAGGGACTGATCCCGTCCGGTCCTGCGGATTTCCTCAGCTTCAGGCGCTGGAGCTGACTCCTCACCTGGTCCGGTGTGATGGAGAGGGGGGGGGACCGGGGTGTACTGTCCGAGGTGGGGGCTGGGGATGCGGGGGCAGGAGGGCCCGGGGCAGCCGGAGGCAGTGTCCACTGGGCGGTGTCCACTGGGCTGGGGACGTGTGAAGAGGTGGGGGCGGGAGGGGGGGCAGATGGAGAGGGGGGAGAATCAAACCGGTTGAAGTACTGGTTAAATTCATCCGCCCGGTGCTGGTCTCCATCTGCTGTTCTTCTGGCACTCTGTCCAAAGCCGGAGATGTTCTTTAGGCCTCTCCACACGTCGCGGGCGTTTCCCTGGGCCAGCTTCTGCTCCAGCTTTTTCCCATAGTCCTTCTTGGCCCTCCTGATCCTCCACTGGAGCTCGTGCTGGATCCTCTTCTGCTTCTCCCTGTCCCCTGAGATGAAAGCCCTTTTCTTGAGGTTCAGGAGGGCTTTAAGCTCAGGGGTCACCCATGGGTGGTTGTTAGAAAAGCACCGCACCTTCTTAGTTGGTACAGTGTTATCCACACAGAAGAGGATATAGTCTGTAATGCAGTGTGTCAGGCTCTCGATGTCCTCACCATTAGAGCTGCAGATCATTTCCCAATCAGTGTTTTGAAAACAATCTCTCAGCATCTCATCCACATCATCGCTCCACACTTTTACAATCCTCTTCTGCGCTGGATTTCTTCTCACCACTGGTGTGTATTCCGGAGACAGACGGACCAGGCTGTGATCAGAGCGTCCGAGAGGGGGGAGGGGGGAGGAGGCGTATGCGTCCCGCACATTAACATACAGTAGGTCCAGGGTCTTATTGCCACGAGTTGGGCACGTGAAATACTGTTTGAATGTCGGGAGAGTGGCGGAGAGGGAGGCGTGGTTAAAGTCTCCGCTGATCAGAATCAGAGCGCGGGGGCTGCGGGTCTGGATCTGGGTCACAGTTCTGTGCATCTCCTCACATGCTGCGGCTGCGTCTGCTGACGGGGGAATGTAGACACATAGAACCACAGTGTGTGAAAACTCCCGCGGCAGATACCTGGGTCTCATGCTCACAGCGAGCAGCTCCATGTCCTGTGTGCATGTACGCTGAACCACATGCACGTGCGTCGGGATGCACCACTGCTCGTTCACGTAGACCGCGACACCCCCGCCTTTCCTCTTCCCACTCCCCTCCGCGCAGCGGTCCGCTCGCACAAGTTTAAATCCCTCCAGCGCGACCACAGAGTCCGGTATATTCCCACACAGCCACGTCTCAGAGAAACACATAAGTCCACATTGTCTGTACTCTTTATGATGGCGGACCAGTGCGGTCAGCTCCTCAGTCTTATTAGAGATGGACCGTACGTTCCCCATAAGGATGGAGGGGAGATACGGCCTCTTCTTCCTCTTTCGGCCTCCTCTGGAGCCCCTGCGTCTCCTACGGATCTCCAAGGGGATCACCGGCTTCTCTGAGTGCCGGAAAGCGGAGTCTCTAAGTCCGAGAAGCTGCTCCCGTGTGTAAACAATGGGACACCCTGGTCTCGTGGCTCTGTGAGCGGAGGACTCCGAAAAAAGTGCCGAAGACATGTTAATCCAGTGAGAAAGTCCACGAAGTTAGGCTTCCCGTGTGCACAATGCACAAATAAACGCTTGTCTACAAAAATAAAAAATAAAAAATCACATCTACAAGAAATAAATAGAGAAAGGGTCGGAAAGAGAAGATAGCCAAAGTGACGAGCTGCACAGCGGGAGCTGGCGCCGGATATATATCACATATATCTGAAAAAGTGTGTAAAAGTGTGTATAACAAGTCTCTCTCAGTGCTGCCAACTACTGGTCGGATCTGGTATTGCAAGAATACACACTTCACACACGCTTGACTCATCTGCGCATGTGCGTGGAAGGATTTACTTCTCAGTGACATTGACACGGTTGAGACACGAGTGAGAACAAAAAGGTAAGTTTAACAAATACTTATACAAAGACAAGATTTATTTATATCAGACAGTTGTATGAGATTAAATGCATGTGTTCGGCCATTGAGTAAACCTAGTTTACTTAGTTTTAGTTTAGTTAGGAACTTTGTTTCCTCAAGCTACCTCATGTTAGCAGAGCAGCTAATGCAAGCTAATGGGCTAACATGTGGCCTGCACCATTTCTATCAGCACAGTGTAGTCACAATGCATAAATTCGATTAGTATACAGCAAGTGCGTGTTGTAGTGGAATTAATTTATTTATATATCCGCTGGCTGGGTGTCCACCGGGTCTTGAGCGTGGAAACCCGCTGTAAACACCGGTACTCCACGCCCTGCTGAGCACCGGGGCTTCCCCACGTCTGTATGGCTCCCGCGGGATCCACGTCTGCATCTGCACCGGGGCTCCCGCGGGATCTACGTCTGCATGCGCACCGGGGCTCCCGCGGGATCCACGTCTGCACGCGCACCGGGGCTCCCGCGGGATCTACGTCTGCATGCGCACCGGGGCTCCCGCGGGATCCACGTCTGCATCTGCACTGGGGCTCTCGCGGGATCCACGTCTGCATCTGCACCTGCACCGGGGCTCCCGCGGGATCCACGTCTGAACGCGCACCGGGGCTCCCGCGGGATCTACGTCTGCATGCGCACCGGGGCTCCCGCGGGATCCACGTCTGCATCTGCACCTGCACCGGGGCTCCCGCGGGATCCGCGGGATCCACGTCTGCACGCGCACCGGGGCTCCCGCGGGAACCACAGCACGCGCACGGGGACTAATTTATATATCTGCTGGGTGGCTACCGGGTGTTGAGTGTGGTGTACATGCACACAGGGACAGGGCTGGACTGGGACAAAAAAACGGCCCGGGCATTTTTTCCTTCTTACCGGCCGAGGCATGTTTTTGTCACGTTTTTTACAGTTTGTTTATACCAGGGATCGGCAACTCAAAAGGTTCAAAGAGCCATATTTGACAAAAAATACTAAAAACATCTGTCTGGAGCCGCAAAAAAATAACAGCCTTGTATAAAGCTTATATGAAGGTTACACAATGTAGCTACATTAGCTACGTTAGCCTATTATCTAAATGACCAAGTAAAGGCTACAAATACATGATTAGCATTCATGATTGTCAAATGTGTGTTTTCACTGCAGCGTGTCCTGGAGAGAATGACGCACCACGTGATGACTCTGCTTTAACTTTGACTTCCATTTTTTTGCCTTCATGCAACTGTAGAAATACAGTAAATAAATCTGCTTTTTGGCTCAAAGGTCACACACCTGCACTGTCCACTCATATCGATTACGTCACAGGCTGAAGTTTGCTGGAGCTGAATGTCCTTAATGGCCTTTTCTTTCACAGTCTTTGCGGAGGTTTTTGAAGTCTGAAAAAGGTGCTCCGGATTTTGTATGAAAGAATCCTTCACGTAATCCCTGTGAACGGTTTTTAGTGCTTCATTGTTCCTCGTGTTGCAACAAAACTTCCTATTACATCGCAAACATGAAGCAGTCCTTCCTCATTGACTGAAAGCAAATGTTCAGTCTTGTTCTTAGTCCAGTCTTATTATCGACTCGTTCTCTTTTTATCTTTGGGATCCGTGCGCACACGCCGGTTTGTTTACAGCAGCGGCCGTCTGCCGCGGGGCCGCGCCACAGGATATGACTCACTACGTTGACAGAAATGTTGAAATTGAATATTACTTATACACATTTTTACAGCATTGAAATACGTTAGGAATGTTTTTCCTCCTACAGAAACCACATTCAAACTAGGAATAAAATATAGCCCTCCCACTCCATTTTCAGACATTTTTGAAAAGGCTCCAGGAGCCACTGGAGGAGCACTAAAGGTTGCCGACCCCTGGTTTATACAGTATGTGGAAGCAGCAGTGTCTCCCAAGTGGGGTCCGCGGCCCCTGTAGAGGGTATGCAGGAGGTCTACAAAAAAATTCAACAAAAAAATAAAGTGCAATTTGACTTGTCTAATCATTTTTGTATTACAATGAGCAGTAATAAAATAAAATGACATGTCTCAGAGTGAGGGGCCTCGGTGTTACTGAGTTTGGGAATGGCTGCTGTACAGCAGTTTCACAACACTACATTTGTTGGACGCAGACAACTGTTGTTACAGGGATGAGAATTGGTCAAAAAAGTCTGAAATGCATAATGTCAGCCATTGGCTGGCTCTAAATCTGTTTAATTTTTTCACAACATTTTACTTTTGGGCTCAAACATGAACTTTTAATGCAATGGAAAATTTAGGCACCCGAGCTTTAATTTAGTCGCACTTCGAGAGGAGAGGGGAGACGCGGACTGTTTCCTGCAGCGGTGTATTTATTGGGTGCACAAATTACGCAAAGACATGCATGGTCCTGTGCACGTTTATGGTCTTGGGTATATGGTCACGTTGCGGCTACGCGCTCACCGTGTTGTGTTGTGAGCGGCTCCCGGTGAGCGGTTCCCGCGTCCAGCTCAGAGCCGCTGGATGACGGAACACTGCGGCCGCTGAGGTGGTAGAATCCCGTTCCAGTACATACAGCAGGTGCCCCGCGGACACGCGCGCCCCCTCGAACAGTTCTCAACGGATTTACACTTTTCACAAACATCTTTTTTGTATGAGGCAAACAGACCGGCCCAAATATGGGCATCGGCCCTTCTGGCATTGCCCGGTACGCCCGATGGCCAGTCCAGCCCTGCACAGGGATCACGTCTGCACAGGTACCCATTGAGTGATTGTTTTTCTGACTTAAAATATAACTAACATCTGTCTTTATGTAATCTGGTCTACATGTTACTGTCTGACATAACTAAAACATATTTATTTATATCAGATAGTTGTATACAATTCAAAATATTGAATATCAAATCTTTACTTAGTTTTCTATAGTTACCTCTTGTTAGCAGACCAGCTAACAAGTGGCCCATGCCATTTCTACCAGCACAGCACAGTGCAATGCATGAATATGATTGATATTCAGCGATTGCGTGTTGTATCTAATTCAAACAATATCATATGTCTGCTGGTTGGCCACCAGGTCTTGACTTCTCTTTAATTCAAGCTGTAAAAAATAATTGCGTCATCTGTCTCTATGTAATGTTGTGTAGATTTGGCTGTCTGACAAAACTAAAGCATAATTTTATAAAATAAAAGATTTATGGAGGGTGTTCTATGACATTGTTAATGCTTTGTATTTCAAAATAGGAATAACAATGGCAACAAGAAGCAGGAGGAAACTGCCAATGGAGGACGCTACTATACGTGCCACAAAAGCACAGGACAAGACGGTGGAATTGGATGTGCAATTCATTAACCCCTATAAAGGTACTGTATGTGTGTGTCATTTTTTTACATTCAGAAATGGCTTGACACAAATATGGACAAGAGTAACATTCTTCACTATAACAGTATTGAGAACATAGCCGAATGTGCAACACAAGATGTTCTGACCCGGTTCTTAGCATTAATGTGAGAAAGTTGAACTACATTGTCCATTTGTCCAGGCGACAAGCATAAAATATGCAAAACACCCCAAACCACAAAACACATGCCTAAGCACCGTTAACTTGAGGCTATATCATTTTGTGATTGCGTAGTTTCTGAACTTAGTAGCTGCGGATTACTAAAAACTTGAAAAACACAAATGGTATACTACAAAGAGTAGATGTTAAATGGTGGGAATGCACAAGATTTGCACAACCTGAATTAACGGATTCCAGTTTATAAAATGGTATTTTTGGAAGTTTTAACACACGTTTATTATTTGTGACCGCGAGGCACTTGCTGCTGTTTCCTGTATGAACTCTGCAAGCTGCGGGCGCTCTGGACAGCAGTTCCTCCAGCGGCTGTGATCACGCCGTTCGCTGATCAATATCCAAGACATACACGCACAGAACTATTCTCTGCTTGTGATGTGCGTGTCTTTGCTTAACCGGTGCACACAAAAAATACAGCCCAGAAGCTGGACTGCGGAGCCTCAGTCTCCTCCGTGTCTTCTAAATTAAAGCTTGGGTACCTAATTTTCCCTTCCACTACTTGTGTCCAAAAGTAATGGTGTAACCAAATCAAACAGATTTAATGACATTCTGCCTCAGACTGTTTTAAATATCCCTCATCTGTAACAAACATTAATTTTGGTTTGAGTCACTACAAATACATTACATAGAACAAATACAGCACTGTATTTGTTCTAATAAACAACTACAGTACAAATGAACACATGAACACTATTTTGTCATGTATCTTTCCATTCAAACAACCATTTACCTGCAATATATGGCATCATTTTGTCGATAGTTCGAAATGCGATTAATCAATAATTAAGCTGTAATCATCTCTATATCCATATATATATAGATATATATATATCTATATAGATATATATATATCTATATATATTTTTTTTTTATCTTAAGTGAAGCTTTAAGGTGTTGAAAAATGACATAGTAAACACATGTGCCGGCGGGACATGTTTTTAACCAAACTGTAAAGCACATTGTGTTGTTATTTTTTTGTATGAAAAGCGCTTTATAAATAAAGTTTGTCTAATTATTTATGATATTAATGCTTTCTTATTTTGTTCAGCACTTTGAATTGCCTTGTGTATGAATTGTGCTATACAAATAAACTTGCCTTGCCTTGCCTAATTGATTGATGTTTCTCTAGGTCGTGGGGTATTTGCCAAATGCCAATTTGGAAAGGGTGACTTCGTGGTTGAGTACAGAGGAGATTTAATAACTTGGGAAGAATCACAAAGAAGGAGGAGGACTTACCACAGAGCGAGTGCCGTTTTTCTTTATGAGTTCTACTGGAAGGAAAAGCTATGGTGGTAAGGTTTTGATAAATGTCTGCCTATTTTTCCAAGAGCAGGAGATTTTATAATGCTCAAATGGATAGCATGTATAGCCATTTCTAAATAGTTATGGACCTTCATTTAATTGGTAAATTAATGTTTTAATTAATATGAATATATGTTTTCCAATCTCAAGTATTGATGCATCCCGAGAAGATGGTAGCCTTGGACGACTCGTCAATGATGACCACAGGCACCCAAACTGCAAAATGAAGAGGGTCATAATAGAGGGCAAACCACACCTTTTCCTCTTTGCATTGAGGGAAATTCATCCAGGACAAGAAATCACATATGACTATGGGGGAAAAGATTGGCCATGGAGAAAACAGGTTTGTCATAATTAGTAAGATTATCAATGATTGCTCTAGTGTAAAATGTCATTATCCAGATATTTTTTCTTGGATTTAACTATATACTGGTGGGTCTGCCTGTCTACATCCAAGTGATTTTATAATGAAATATAATGATAGATAGTATAGTTATAGTTATTTTTTTTCAGACACTAGAACAAAGTGATGCTGACGTTGAGTCATCTGACAGTGCTGTTCTTCTCTGCCTTCCACCTTCGTCTGCACAGCAGACGAAGGTGGAAGGTGGAAGGCTTTCCACCTTCATGGTGGAAGGCCCTCAACTTCCACCATGAAGGTAGGAATGAGTTTGTTCTGTAATGTTTGCTCTTGTGCACACTGCCTGGTTTAGTTGATCAGTTCCATTTTGGTCTCACACATGTTGCCAAGCGGAGTCTGGTTGGTCCCCACTAAATGAGAAAAAACAGTCTTTTACTGTTATTACACACTTGTCTGGTGTCTGTATTTGTGGGGACCACGGTAGTTGGGTAATACCCTCATTCATACAGGCAACAAAACACAATCTATTACACGTGGCCCATACCACTAGCTAAGTTTGTCTTGTATAGTTTACATCAGTTCTTCTATCACAGGTCAATTCAGATCAGTTCCATTTTGGTTTCACACATTTTATCAAGCACAGTCTGGTGTTCCTAATTAAGTGGGGACCACACTTAACACACTTGTCTGGTGTCTGTATTTGTGGGGACCACGGTTGTTGGGTTATACCCTCCACATTTACTCACATTGATATGTCACCTTCATTCATACAGAACACAAAACAGTGTCCATTACATGTGGCCCGTAACACTAGCCACGTTTGTCTTGTACAGGGTACACCAGTTATTCTATCACAGGACAACCCTGTAATGCTTGCTATTCACTTGTTTTCAGTTGTAGCTTTCACTGTAATGGTGTAACAGGCTACACCTTTTACACTTTAACCAGAAATAAGTTCAACCTATTGAAAATACATATGATTTTTGGCCAGAACACAGAGATATAGATGTTCATTCCAATGTATGCTTTTCTCTTCTAAACTAAGCTGATTTATTTACCTAAATAATTGTTTTACTGTTGAAAAACTTCTCATTGCTTATAAATGTTTATTTCTCTTATTTCAGACACAAGAACAAACAATTGATGCTGACGTTGAGTCATCTGACAGTGCAGTCTTCTCTGCTGTTCTGGAAACTTCAGAGAGGCCCTCAACTTCCACCATGAAGGTAGGAATGAGTTTGTTCTGCAATGTTTGCTCTTGTGCACACTGCCTGGTTTAGGTGATCAGTTCCATTTTGGTCTCACACATGTTGCCAAGCGGAGTCTGTTTTTTCTTATTAAGTGGGGACCAACCAGTCTTTTACTGTTATTACACACTTGTCTGGTGTCTGTATTTGTGGGGACCACGGTAGTTGGGTAATACCCTCATTCATACAGGCAACAAAACACAATCTATTACACGTGGCCCATACTGTTGAGTAAGGCGGAACTATGTTATGCTTCACCCGGACATGTATTGTGGTTACACACATGTTAGTTCGCCAAGTAAAGACGTGACTTGCTTTACACATGTGTTGTCTGTGTTACTACGTTAAGTGAGGTTCAGCTAACGTAACATGGTGTCAGAATGAAACGGGAATAGGACAACATGAGTGAGCAGGAGGCAGCGCAGGGGAGGAGCGGGGACGGCGGAGCAGCCGTGCCTCAGCTCGCGGCGCCAGGCAAGTTTGATTTCACTAAAGTCACCGAGTGGCCAAGATGGCTGAAGCGGTTCGAGCGCTACAGGATCGCTTCGGGGCTGGACAAGCAGTCTCAAGAGTTCCAGGTGAACAGCTGCTGGTGACGACGCAGAAGACATCCTTAATGTTTTGCCCCTGACAGAAGCTCAGTCGAAGCAATACGAGGCAGTAACAGCGGCTTTCACGGCACACTGTGTTAGCAAAAGAAACGTCATTTTCGAAAGAGCGCGCTTTAACCGGAGGAGCCAAGAGCCGGGAGAGAGCGTGGAGTCCTTTATAACAGCAGTGCACACGCTGGCAGAACACTGTGAGTTTGGGACATTACGAGAACAGCTAATACGGGACCGTATAGTTGTTGGCATAAGAGATGCTAAACTGTCAGAAAGTCTCCAGTTAGACGCAGATTTAACACTGGGAAAGGCAATGACACGTGTGAGACAGAGCGAGGCAATAAAGAAGCAGCAGCCAGTCCTCAGAGGAGTTGAACAGCAACCATTGCAAGTTGAAGCAATACACAAACGAAACAAAAAACCCTATACATTTGAAAAGGAAAAAACTGACTCAAAGACAAGTGAGTGCAGTAGATGTGGACTATTAAAGAAACATTCAAGGACTGAGTGCCCAGCTCGAGACGCAGAGTGCAGGAAGTGTCACAAAAAAGGACATTATGCAAAGAAATGCAGGTCAGCGGGGGTCCACAATATAACAGAATTCCATAGCAGGAGGAGTGATGAAGAGGATTTTGCATTTTTGGGCGAAATTATATGTGAAGTGTCGGATGAGTGGAGTGATACTGTACATCTCAATGAAGAAGAAACAGTCTTCAAGTTGGACACTGGAGCCAGTGTCACAGCAATCCCGTGCAGTATTTACTCTCCACAGAAACATGGCGCTTTGATGCCGCCATGTAAAGAGCTGTATGGTCCAGGAAAACAAAAACTGGATGTCAAGGGACGGTTCAAAGGTAAAATCACTGGTAATAAAAAGACAACTACTCAGGATGTGTATGTTGTCAAAGGACTGTACAAACCGTTGCTAGGCCTCCCTGCTATCACAGCATTGGAGCTGATTAAACGAGTAAATTCAGTGCTTGTGGAACCAGTGGATTTTAAAACTTTGTACCCGACAGTGTTTTCAGGACTGGGAAAACTCAAAGAGCCCTACAAGATTGAGCTCGACCCAGGAGCAGTCCCATACGCCCTCTCAACCCCACGCAGAGTGCCCCTTCCACTGCGGGATAAGGTGAAGAGTGAGTTGGAACGTATGGAGGACATGGGAGTGATATCCAGAGTTACACAGCCCACACCTTGGTGCGCAGGCTTGGTAGTAGCGCCAAAAGCATGACCAGGCAAGATAAGACTGTGTGTGGACATGACTCATTTAAATAAGTGGGTGCGGAGGGAGAGACACATCCTTCCGGCAGTGGACCACACTTTGGCCATGCTGTCCGGAGCAAAGATGTTCACTAAACTTGATGCCACCTCAGGTTTCTGGCAGATCCCATTGGCCGAAGAAAGCAAGCTACTAACAACGTTTATAACCCCATTTGGCAGGTATGCATTTAACCGGTTGCCATTTGGGATCTCATCGGCTCCTGAGCACTTCCAGCGTCGGATGTCACAGATGCTAGAGGGGTGCGAGGGAGTAGTGTGCCACGCCGATGACGTCGTGGTCTTTGGAGAAAACACACAGCAACACAACGAGAGACTCCACAAGGTTCTGAAGAGGCTCAGGTCAGAAGGACTCACACTAAATGATAAGTGTGAGTTCCTAAAAGACAGAATAATGTTTGTGGGTCACTGTGTCACAGCAGAAGGTGTGTCCCCAGATCCAAACAAAGTCAAGGCGATAATAGAAATGCCAGAACCGAGTGATGCAGAGGGTGTGAGGAGAATTATGGGCATGGCGAACTACCTAGGGAAGTTTCTCCCACATCTTGCATCTTTCTCAAAACCATTGAAAGATTTACTCAGTGAAAAGAATGAGTGGCACTGGGGAGCCCCACAGAAGGAGGCTTTTCTAAAACTTAAGACTGAACTGAGTTCACCACGTATCCTGGCTTCATATTCTATAGAGGCAGAGACATGTGTGGCAGCCGACGCCTCATCATATGGGCTCGGTGCCGTTCTTACACAGGCACAGAAAGATGGAACATGGAGGCCAGTAGTGTTCATTTCCAGAGGCTTGACAGAAGCAGAAAAACATTACGCTCAAATAGAAAAAGAGGCTCTGGCTGTGACATGGGCATGTGAAAGGTTAGCGCCCTATGTCCATGGACTCACTTTCAAGTTAGAGACAGACCATAAACCTCTAGTACCTCTACTGAGTACCAAAGCATTGGATGAGTTACCTCCGAGAGTACTGAGGTTCCGTTTGAGACTAATGAAGTTCACATTCGAGATTGTACATGTTCCAGGGAAGCAGTTAATAACAGCAGACACCCTGTCGAGAGCACCAGTGAATTACACATTCACTCAGGAGGAACTGAAAAATGAAACTGAGGTCCAAGTGTTCATAGATTCAGTGGTCCAGAGTATACCAGCCACAGAGCCCAGATTACGAGGCATCCAGCAGGAACAACAAAATGACTCTGTCTGTAAAGGGGCGTTCACACCGGACTTAACTTCGGCGTCAAAAGCGTCAGGTTTCCATTGAAAGTGAATGGTGAAGCGCGTCAGGTGAAGCCGAGAGCCCCGGCGTCACTTGACGCGCGTCAAAAGCTTCAAGAGTCGCGCGTACTACGCGCTCACTTGAAGCTTTTGACGCGCGAAACGCTCGCGTATCAAAACAATCCCTCTGACGCCGAAGCTGAGCAAAGCTGAGCTTTTGAAGCTTTGACGCGGGCTTCAACCAATCAGGAGACGAGGAGCAGCAGCAGCAGAGGGTCTGTCTCTGTCATGAAGAGAAGTCATGCTGCTGCTGTTTTATTGTCATTATTGTTATTAGTAATATTATTTGTATGAGTAGTAACATTCTGAGTAACAAAATCATTGTACACATGCTGTGTAGTAAACGTAGTTTATTTAAAATAAGAACAGGCTGACGATGAGTCTGGCTCAGAGCAAGGCAGCTCCAGGCGGGCGAGAGCCGGGGAGAGGCAGGGAGAGGCGAGCGAGAGCCGGGGAGAGGCAGGGAGAGGCAGGGGAGAGGCGAGAGAGAGGCGGGGAGAGGCGAGTGAGAGCCGGGGAGAGGCAGGGAGAGGCGAGCGAGAGCCGGGGAGAGCCGGGGAGAGGCGAGCTCCGGGGTTTGAGAACTCAGACTGGGCGAGTGACATGCGGAAGTACCGCTGAAAGCGAAACTCCTCCGTACGCAGCTCCTGGAGTAAATGACGGAACTCTGCAAACACTGCAGCCTCTCAAGTCTGTGGTGAACCCAGAACATGTTTTGTTGAAGCCCTACAACAACGTTATTTTGCTTTATATAACAAATAAAGGCTCGCTGCTCATTGAAAAATCAACCGCTGTCCTGACTACAGACAACAGAGAAGCTCCTCCCACCGGCGTCAGGCGCGTCACTCGCGTCAAAAGCTTCAAGCACCAAAATGACAAAACTATCCCGGCGTCAGTTGAAGCGCGTCAAAAGCTTTTTGAAGCTTTTGGTCTGAACGCGCCTTAAGAGACTCATACAGTATTGTAAGACCGGTTGGCCCGAAAAACAGGCCCTTCCTCCAGATTTAGTAATATACTGGGGGGAAAGAGAGAATCTAAGCGTAGCAGGAGAGCTCTTACTGAGATGACAGAGACTGTTCATTCCAACAAAGATGAGGAGAGACATTTTGAATCAGCTTCACAGTGGTCACCAAGGCATAGTCAAATGTAGAGCTAGGGCCCGTCAATCAGTCTGGTGGCCAGGAATATCAGTACAAATCAGTCAGTTAGTGGAAAACTGTGATACATGTTCCAAGCACAGAGCGGAATACAGGGAACCACTGCTGACCACACCCATACCAGAGCGTCCCTGGCAGAGGGTAGGGACTGATTTGTTTTTCTGGGAGAAAGAGACTTTCATTCTGATTGTGGACTACTTCTCGAGGTATATTGAAGTGGCAAAACTGAATACTCCATCGTCTGCTACAGTCATAGCGGCCATCAAGGAGACATTTAGTCGCCATGGAATTGCCGAGGTGGTAGTATCGGACAATGGGCCCCAATACAGCAGTGATTTATTTAAAGACTTTGCTGCAGAGTATGGGTTCATTCACACTACCAGTAGCCCTCGGTATCCACAGGCAAATGGCGAAGCTGAAAGAGCGGTAGCCACTGTAAAAGGACTGTGGAAAGGAGGAGGTGAAAAGACAAAAGCACTTCTAGCATACCGGGCTACTCCTCTCGAGTGCGGATATTCTCCCGCACAGCTTCTGATGGGCAGACAATTAAGAACAACACTGCCACAGCGTCCAGTCACCCTCTCACCACGGTGGCCAAACATCAAAAACTTTAGAGACAATCAGAGACGGAACAAATCAAACCAACAACGACGCTACGATCGGCGCTACAGGACCAGGCCATTACCCTGTCTGCAGACCGGTCAGAATGTGTGGCTCCCAAGAGAGAACAAAGAAGGGACAGTTGTACACAAAGCAACTACACCAAGGTCATATGTTATCAACACTGACGAGGGACAAATCAGGCGTAATCGTGCTCATGTGAGACCATTATGTTTACCAGCATCTGCAGAGTCAACAGGTGAATCTACTAGTGCAGAGACATACACATGTAATGATAAAAGCACACATAATGATAACATACAGGACACAGCCCCGTATATAACATCCTCAGGACGTGTGTCCCGTCCTCCCAAGCGCTTAGACTTGTAGAAATGTGCTATGGTACAAGTGAATGTTTACTGTTTTGTTCAAAATAGGAATGTTACAGAAGTGTTCACAAAAGAAAACTGTTTACAAGTGTTTAAAAATGTCTAATGTGAGTTTTGACATTGATTTGAAATTTAAAAGCATGTGGGAAGGTTCTGACTAAAGAGGGGAGGTGTTGAGTAAGGCGGAACTATGTTATGCTTCACCCGGACATGTATTGTGGTTAGACACATGTTAGTTCGCCAAGTAAAGACGTGACTTGCTTTACACACGTGTTGTCTGTGTTACTAC